GTTCTGCCTGTCTGTGGCTTTTTCCACAACTTCCTGGACTCCCTGCATGCTTTGCAGCTTCTCCTCACTTTCCATTTCTAAGGACTACATATCCCATGGTACCTTGCTGTGTACAAGCCACGATTCCTGTACTGGTTCCGCCTCCTGAAACTCCTCCTATCAGCACCTCTGTAGTTCAGAAGGCAGGTTCTGTGAAATGTGTGACACAGCAGTGCCTACTACAGGGCAATATGAATGTGTCACATAGAATTCAGTTTGTGGGGATCTTCACCTTCACTTAAAGATCACTCAGAGTAATAGAACTAGGTAAGATATAGTAGAAAATAAGTGAAAAAAAATATACATCATGACCAAAAATATTGGCACCCCTGCATTTCTGTCAGATAACACACCACCTCAGCCAGAAAATTGTTGCAATTACATGTTTATTTCTTTTGTTTGTATTGGTATGACACAAAAAAGTGAAGAAACAAAAAGCCAAATCTGACACATTCCACATTGCAAACAATTTTCTGGCTGAGGTGGTACGTTATCTGACAGAAATGCAGGGGTGCCAATATTTTTGGCCAGGGCTGTATGAATTTACACTTTGACTGTAGATAACATTTTAAATCCCGAACCAAAAAAGTAATGTAACGTATGGGGGGGGGGGGGGGGGGGGCACCATTGTTGGGTTGTGTTTAGGGCATCAGTTGCCCTTAATCTGGCCCTACAAGGAACATACTGTTCATCACAGCTGCAGAAGAAACCAAAGCCTAAGTCCCTGGAAAAAGGTCATGCCTCTAGGATGCCTAACACTTTCTGTTTCTACCTGAAATGTTAGTTTTTGAGTGAACTGACCCTTTAAGCAATTAAAAGACTTGAAAGTAGCATTTGGAAATACATGTATCACAGAAAGTCTTGGAAATATATACTGCTTTAATCTTGTGGGACACAAAAATAAAGATCTGTCATAAAGAGAGTGCAATAAAGAGAAAAGCCTTTACAGAAGGCAGTTGGCATTTAAAAGCATTATCAAAAGACTGTTATAAAATCAAAGCTGTCTGCTGTACATGAATGAAGCATTAATGGGCAGAGATATCACTGACACAGCTGAAAAAGCAAACTACAGCATGATTACATCACCCAGGATTTTACATGATAAAAGACCTGCATGAAGGAATTGTGTGCCCTCCTTGAGGTGATATAGTGATGTTGCAACAATGAAATCGCATTTTAACAATGACCATTTATGGGTTCGGCAGCCTTGCCAATTACAATGTTCAATATAATCATTCATTACTGTAAGAAAATAATACCAATTACTAAACCTTGAAAGTCCTCTTGGACATTTATTATTTTTGCTTCCTTGTTCATATACTTCTTTACTTCGTTGAGTTCCTCTGGTGATGTCCATTTTGTGTTGGCTGTAGATGATCTTTTACATAAAGAATCACCCTAACCAAACGGCAACTGCCAGTCATGTACAGTGCAGCTTACAATAACCTGAGGAACGAAGTAATGCAGGCTGGGGAAAATTTTTTTTGTGTGTCTGATATAATGCCAGAATCTGTAAAAAAAAATATAGACACATAAATGGACAAGGAATTAAAGTAGCTACAAACTGTAAGGTCTCTTGCACACTAGGGCATATAGCCATCCTGGTGTTTTAGTGCTCCCAGGAGTCACATGTGCAGCAACCAGCCCCACAGCCTGCAGCTTGCCAACGTCTATGTGGCAGGTGCAAGTATGCTGCAGCTTGACAGGGCTGAACACGTGCAGAGATGTATTTGTTAGTTTTTTTAAGGCCCCTTTCACATGGGTTGGATCCGTTTTTCTCAGCAAGGAATCTGTCTGCTGATCCCCTGCTGAGCTGAGAAAAGCAGGTAGATGACTGCGCTTATGCAGAGCGGACACAGCCCACTCTGCTCTAGGGGCAGTCGGATGTAAACAGGACCAGCTTACACCTTACTGCCCTCTGATCCAATCCAGCCAGATGGAGGGCAATGGATCCCCTTCCGTCAGTTTTTGCTGGATCAGATTAGATGTAGGTAGATTGTTTCCATTTACATCCGTTGCTCCATAGAGGAGGGTGGAGGGTCCGGTCTGAAAAACAGACAGACGGACTCTATCGGAATGCTCCTGTGAAAGAAACGTTGTTACTATGTATGCATTATTGGTTTTACAAACAAATATTTATTACAGGACAAAAGGATTCCCAGAGCGCTATGAGTTAGCTAAAGGAACAGCACAGCAAGAGTAGCTGTCTTTCAGGCACAGATGTCTCTCATTGAATCTTCCCTTGAACATTCTAATAAAGGCAAGTAATTTCTTTAAATAATTTTTTAAACTCAATTTTACTTTTATAACTGCACTCTATAAACAAGATTTATTAAACAATGGCAGGTAGCAGGGAACAATTAAAGTAACCTAGAGCTTCAGCTGCTTGCTGGATAAGAGTTAGCATAATATCCACATTCAATAATTCATAGCTAACTAAAAATGTTAAATATTATTTCTTTGTTTTTATAGTGCTTGTCATAATAAGGAAATACATTTGTAAACATAAAAGTAAATAAGATGTGAGACCACCAAACTGCGCTAAAATGTGCAAACAAAAAAAAATTATATCATTACTAAATCCTGTAAGTTTATAAACACCACACTGCCACTTTAAAATATAATAAACATGAGCAAAAAAACACTTTAAAAAAAGTATTCAAGTGGCGCATGAATCAATTATCAGTGTACAAAATAATCATAAAATAGCATATAAAATATTGTGAATAATGAATAAAGAATAATATATAATACATAATATTGTCCACTTAAACAATATTAATGGTGTGAAATAAATAATAAATATTTCATGTTTTTCCAAGCAAAAAGTCCAAATAACTCAGTCCGTCAAACAATCACCACGTGAAAGAACTTGTACTAAAATAAATTATATATAACTGTGTAGTGCTCCCCTCTCAGGTGTGCACTCACCAAAAAGTGTTACATCCAACTCTCATGGTTGGCACACTGAGCTTTGATAAAGGATTTCCCAAGGGCTAGATCAGATCACTTGTGATAATATGTTCTCCTTAAACTTGCAACAATAGAATCCCAGGACAAACGTTCCTAATCTCCAGTACATAAATTCCTCCTCCCAATGCTCCACTCACAATAGACCATATAGAAGATAAAAGGACAAGAAAACCCCAAATGGTGCAGTACTAACTGAACGGTTTTATTGCCACAATAGAATGCTACTTACAAAATGTAAATAGGTAATATAGCCCAAAGATGTTTAGCTTTACAAACTCTTAATATGAGGAAAGCCGGATCAGTGCTCTCACCACTGCCGACCTTCGATCTCTGATGCTCCCACATCACTTTTGGTTCCAGTCCGCGTCACTTCCGGTCGCTGCACAGCCTCGAACTGACGCGTTTCGTCACTTCCAACTTAATCATAGGGGATCCCCTATTTTAATTTCATTTCTGACGCATTGTTTGTAATGATGTTGTTCCAATTAAATGAATAAACCTCATCAATAATGCAATTACTAGCCTGCAGCTAGAGGGAGCTCTAATGATTTGTAATGTGACTTCAGGAGCCTGATACCAGCAAGCTCATATTAAACTCGGAAATATAATCCTGTAACAATGTTATTTGTTGCATTTGAATAAGAAAGAAGTATACTGAAGATCTGGTTACGTGGATATGTTACTCTTTTCTTATGTGGACTTTATATGCACAGTTTGAATTTGAATTTTATTTCTCATGTATTGTATATGTTAATGATATTATGTGTTGCATTTGCATTTTCTAATATTTGGATATAATTCTAGCTCTATACTTTCTACATTTAAGAGATGTCAGATGCATTGTGATTTTAATGCAAGGGGAGAAAGGTCCACTTTAATCAGGAGGAGATGAAGAGAAGCAGTTTGTTTGGGGCCCTTAGTAATAGACTGTTGAGTTTGAAATTCATACACTTGATTGGTGGTAACATGCATTAAAATGCATATTTTAATATGCATTAATATACTACATGGGATTGATTTACTAAAGGCAAATAGGCTGTTTACTTTGCAAGGGAAGTTAAACTCTGCAAAGGAATTTGCTACAGAGCTTGAATGGGGTGAAGTTCTGCTGACTTTCATCGTCCAATCATGTGCTGCAAAAATGCTTTTTTTGTTTTCATTTTCTTTGCGTGTGATTGGGTATTCTTTGCAAAGTGAAATATCACCACATTCACTAAGCTCTAGGAGAAAATTCTCTTGCAAAGTGCAAAGTGAACAGCCTTTTGGCCTTTAGTAGATCAACCCCATGAGGTCATTCTAAAGACACCCTAAAGTACATGTAAAAACACACACACACCTGTGTTATTAGGCATCACAACAAATCTGTAAATACTTTTGTGTGGTGGTGCACTGCGTTGTGTAAATAGTGCAAGTGTATTATTTCAACACTAACGCATGCAAAGATATGAATGGTCAGTAAATGTATCCTGGAACTATGTCTCTATATGGCTTGTATCACATATCAAACCCCAAACCAAAAATGTAATGTTTTTAATCATAGCAATCAAATACAGTAGTAAACACTAGAAACTAAAACTATAGATCAGTTCTCTCTGCTTTCACTGTGTAAGAACCAATACAGCAGGCTGTCAGGCTGCATGTACACTCAGAGACTGCTGTGCCAGTCAGCCCTAGTCTTCCCGATCACTGCCCCAGTGTTCCACAGTGCTCACAATAACACCACCATACACCATACCAATGTCCTGATCACTGCCATACCAGCGTCCTGATCACCACCATACCCCATACCAGTGCCCTGATTACCGCCATATGCCATACCTGCATCCTGATCAATGCTATATGCCATAACAGCACCCTGGTCACCGCCGCACACCATACTAGAATCCTGATCACCGCCATACCCCATACCAGTGTCCTGATGCCCTGATCACCGTCATATGTCATACCTACACCCCGTTCACTGCTATATGCCATAACAGCACCCTGAGCACCAACGCACACCATACCAGCGTCCTGATCACTGCCATACCCCATACCAGCATCCTGATCACCCCATACACCATACCAGCATCCTGATCACTGCCATATCTCATACCAGCATCCTGATCATTGCCATACCTCATACCAGCATCCTGATCACCGCCATACCCCATACCAGCATCCTGATCACCGCCATAACCCCATACCAGCATCCTGATCAACCCATACACCATACCAGCATCCTGATCACCCCATACACCATACCAGCATCCTGATAAACCCATACACCATACCAGCATCCTGATCACCCCATACACCATAACAGCATCCTGATCACTGCCATATCTCATACCAGCATCCTGATCATTGCCATAGCCCATACCAGTGTCATGATCACCCACTATGGCATACCATCGTCCTGATCACTGCTATGCCCAATATCAGCGTCCTGATCACCACCATACTCCACACCAGCGCCCCTATCATCCCATATGAAATACCAGTGTCCTGATCACCGCCATACCAGCATCCTGATCACTGCCATACTTCATTATAACGTTCTGATCACTGCTCTACCCCATACCACCGTCCTGATCATTGCCATTTATCATACCAGCATCCGGCATTTTAGCGTCTCGACTGGTCAATTTTCAAATATTTATCTCATAGTTTGTAGACTCTAAAGCTTTCACGGAGCTAAATAATATACACTGTTTTGGATTATTTCAACCCCCAAAATGTAGCAAAATACATTTTGGCCTAAATTTATAAAGAAACGTTATTTATTTGCTAAATTTTATAACAAAAACTAAGCAAAAAATGATTCTATTTTATTTTTCTGCCTTTTTTCATTTATATATATATAAAAAAAAACAAAAAAAAAACAGGGGTGATCAAATACCATCAAAAGAAAGTTCTATCTGTTTCCCAAAAAAAAAAGATAACAATTTCATATGGGTACAGTGCTTCATGACTGAGTAATTGTCACTCAAAGTGTGATGGTTCTGAAAGCTGAAAAATGGCCTGGACTGGAAGGGGGTGAAAGTGTTCGGACTTGAAATGGTTAATCAACTGAAAACCCATGTGATGATCCTTGCCAATCAACATTTACAGAAAATATCTAATAAAAATGGATATTGCAATAAGAAAGAGTAACAACCCTAATACATTCAACTGATCTATGCAATGAAAGCTTGAGTGGATGAAAAAATATATATACAGTACATAATTTTCAAGTTTTACATTAACAAATAGCACACGATATGTTGTAGTGAACTGACCTTTAGATTTATTTTTAAGGTGCATCTAAATATAAAATCAAGCCAAAGATAACTATCTGTTCTTCTGTCTATTCTACTACTGTTGTATTTGGCCTAGTGATCCTTCATAATAATATGTACTTATTTCATGATTCTGCTTACCAACCCAAATGGAAGAAAATATATTTGAGATATATTGTAAAAATATTCTTCCCAAATATATTGCCATATATTTGAAATGCTACAATTTTGGCCTTATTCAATATATTTCAAAATATATTTAAATAAATATATATATGTGTATATATATCCTGATCACTGATATATCCTGATATATATACTGCATGTTGAAATGCATTTTTATTACAAAATATATGAAAAATATTTTTAAAAATACATTTCAAATATACTGTATGTCTTTAAAAATACAAATCTACATTTTTGGAATGCATTTACAAATATATGTAAAAATATATGATAAAATGACTTTTTCATACGTTAAAAAAATCTGAAGAATATATTTAAAAAATATATATATATTTTTAAAAATATATTTTTAAAAAAAAATATTCTTTATTTTATTTAACAAAAGTCATTTTAACATATATTTTTACTTATATTTGCAAATGCATTCTAAAAATGTAGATTTGTATTTTTAAAGACATACAGTATATTTGAAATGTATTTTTAAAAATATTTTTCATATATTTCGTAATAAAAACACATTTCAACATGCAACATATATATATATATATATATATATATATATATATATATATATTGAATATGGCCAAAATTGTAGCATTTCAAATATATGGCAATATATTTGGAAAGAATATTTTTAAAATATATTTCAAATATATTTTTCTTCCATATGGGAATATTCAGCATTGAAGTTAAAAATAGTCTAATATACTGTAAGTCTGTGTGTAACATATGCATGATTGACATATATGTCGAATGCGAGCTGGACATTCTTTAAAGTCATGCTGGTATTTCATTTGGTATTGTTCGCTCTTTACAAAGAGACAGATTGATTCCGGTGGATTTTGACCTTTATTGCAAATCCAAAATTCAGACCTGTAATTCACGGTTGCTCAGTCTTTAGTTCAATGTTGTGAAAATTGAGAAGACACACAAGTGGATGTTATTACAAGTGACTCATTTGAACTTGAGTCTGGGCTCTTGTAGCCAGCCTGCAATTATCTTTTGAGCGGCATCGCTAAATGTAGCATAGAACGAACGTGCAGATGTTCTTCAGCGATGAAGCTATCTGCATATGTTAGGACAACATCAACAGCCTGATAGGACATCACAATCAATACTATACTGCGGGAAATAGATAAGCTTTACATTTTAGATTAAAGATCTCCTGGACAGCTTTAGATAACAAAACCACAAAAAGGAAAAACATTAGCTTCACCGCTAAGTACTAAGTAATAGAACCAACATTATACTGTAGCATAAATATTTAATGTCTATGTTTCACTTCCCGCTAATACTTGTGTGTCTGCTGATGTACTGTATGCTTATGGAACTTTCATGGATAGGTAGTGTTTATATGCAAGTGGTGCATGATTCCACTTTGATCCGTGACTAGGCATTGTAGAACTTCAAGTTATTAAGAAGATCTCCAATTTACAAAAGATTTCACCTGTATTACAATATTCTCTGAGCTTGTACTGCTGGAGGATTTTATTTGCAGGATACAGTTCTACACAGTTTTTAAAGACACAATTTCCCAAACAATTATTTGACCATTTCCTAATATATGTGTCCTGTGTTGTACATCTAGGTCATCTACTAGGCAAAGTGAAGCATACTATATTTCCCTATACAGACATGCCTTTTTTTGGATCAACTGTAGGTATAGGATTCTGTATATGGAGGTTTTCTATTTATTAATTCTATTTTTTTTTTCTATTGGTGGAACTAGACAGACGAAAAAGTGTCTTTATTCAATCTATAAACTATATAACTATGTTTGTTTCTTATTTAAGGAGAATATTGTATTATAATCAAGCTGAAAATCAGTAAAAAAAAAAATAATGTAATATAATTGCATACCAGAGATGCTAGTGCACCTATTTGGTTTATATATCATCTGCATCTCCTGAGAAAATTTTATTCTGGAGCTACCATAATAATCTATTTACAGACAGCATAGAGGGGGGCATTAACTAAAACTGGAGCACTCAGAATCTGATGCAGCTTTATCTGGTAGCCAATCAGCTTCAAAATTCACCTTGTTCAATTAAGCTTTGGCAATAAAACCTGGAAGCTGATTAGGTTCTATGCAGAGCTGCACCAGATTTTGCACTTTCCAGTTTTAGTAAATAAACCCTAGAGAATGCTTACCTGGTTCTATACTGCTTCCCTGTTTCTAAAGTTTAAAGCTGCACTCCAGAGAAATGACAGAACTACCCCTATAGTGGGGCTCATCCTACTTCAATGGTTTAATGCTTATTTATGTCTAGCGTACCATAAAAAATGTTTTGCTTTCCTACCCCATGCTTTTTCATCAGCTGGTGCTTACCTCTTCCCTCTGAAGCTCCAAGTTGTGCGCAGGCCTTGTGCGTTCTCACTTACAATGCAGGATTGCTGGTCCTGCACTGTAAATGAGGCTGTCAGAGTATGACCGATGGGTGGAGCACTGAAGAGAAGCTGTTTCAGGGGACCGGATACATAGAGAGAAGCAGCCGATGGAACCAAGGGATAAGGTAGGTAGAACAGAATTTTTTAATGTACTGTAGACTAAATAAGTATAGTAATAACCTCAAACCGGGCTGGCTGTTTTGTCCCAGGTTCCATTGCATGAGGCACATGGGAGCCAGGCACACTATAGTTCATAGTCACTCAAGTCAGGAAACAGGCTGTGTTGGTCTTTTTACAGTTTATTTGCCGATTAAAACTTGGATGGGGTGCGGGAGATCTTTAGGATACGCCACAAACAGCTAGCAGAGATGCAACAGAAAACACAATAACTGATTTGCTCCTTCAGGGTGTAACCACCCTCTTGAATGTGAAGGTTAAATGAACTTCAATTAAGGAACTCTTCAACAGGACTATGGTTCTAAAGAAACTGTAAGGATCTCCCAAAGATGACAGTGAAAGTCTCTAGGATACTTTAGGCTAGTACTCACTGTGCCCTGAGCACTGTTATGTCTCCTGTAGTACCAGCCCGTCTCTGTTCTTGGTACCTGTGGCCTGGATCCCCTGTGGAGCTTTTTGCACTGTTTCAGGACAATCTGGATGGTGATCCATGAGCTCTATCTATAGCTGGGACCCCAAAAAGGATTCCTTCAGGGTTTCAAGTGGATGCCTCAGCCCTCAGGCTGGGGCTTATTCCCACAGGAAAAAGAGGCAGCTGTTCTGAGCCCAAACCTATTTATACCCCTCTCTGCCCCTTGCTGGTCACTCACTGACCATTGATTGGCTGAAAAGGCATGAATATTGAGCCCAGGGTCAACTGAGATGCAAGGTAAAGTAGCTGAGCCTGCACCAGCAGAACCTTGAACAGACACAAATAAACAATTACTGCTCTCCCTTATTACAGGGAGGCCAAAAAGTAAATTTACCTAACACAAGTAGCCTACAGAGTGGCACTACATAAGCTTTTTACCCTGGCAGTGTAGAGGGATCTCTATGGGAAAGATTGTATTGTAAATTCTCTGGAGCTCCGCCTTAATGATATCATGGCTAGACATCCAGAAGTATTGTCTGCACTTGTCTGATGTCTTAACAGTTCTGCATTCAGCCATAAGGAATATCTAATTAGAAAATTAGGATGATTAACACTCAAAGCAAATAAAATCTTTCCAAAATCACTTAATTCACAGACCAAAACAATGATCCATTCCAGTCCAGAAACTAAAGTATTTTTTTAAAAACTTGGATAGAATGGTAAATAGTTAAGACCCCTTTTTTTTGTTTTAATCTGTGTCCCATGTGGCAGATTTTCTTTCTCTTCCTATCCTGTACACACAACAGAAATTGAGAGGAAAGCTCTTAAAAAAAAAAAAAAGAGACATCCCTTATTTGTCAGTTGTCATCAGAACAAGTGTCCTCGTGAAAAGATTTCTCCCCTTTCCCTGTTCTGTTATTGATTTCGAATTTGGATCTTTCATCTCTTTCATTCCTACTGACAATGTTGACCAGGACGAAAAGAACAAGTGAATATCCCTAATGGGAGCACAGACAGCCCTAAGGGCTCGTTCACACCATACGTGCATGAAAACTGATGTAAACTGACGTGCAGATTTCACTTGCAGAGATGTCAATTTACATCAGTTTTCATGAACACTTCAGTGAGTTTTATACATGTTGCAGATTCCTGCACATAACAAATCTGCACGTGATACTAG